TAACTTAAGAAAAGAATACTACAATTGTAATACAGTTTCAGTTACTCTCTTTTGTTGCCCGAAATGAAAAAAAAACAGCTGCCTAAAACCCTTTGATATCTCCTAGATTCTCCTTAAGATTCTGAATGAACTAAAATACATCAAGTCATCGTAACAGAGTTTCCAAGATAGTAGCAAACTGCAAAGAGATTTTAATATTTATTTTTTCTTTCACTAAAAAATTGTGTCATCTGTTTAGCTCATATTGCTCGTCCTCTCTCCTTGACTTCCAGACATTATAACTCCAAAATCACAGGAGTGCAGCTGAGCAGACAACTTACTTATACAGCTCGATTCCTTAGTCACAGCTGATTGGACTAGGAGTAAGAACCTGACTCAGGTTGGACCAAACCCAGTCTCATCCCAAGAAGCATGGAATTGGAACTGAGGGATTAAACCTTTCTTTCAGTGGCTAGACCTAGAATGTGGAGGTGGGGGTGGGGCGGGGCTGAGGTGAGGGCATCCACTAGGATAAGAAGCATTTTACAGAGACAGTGAAGCACAAGTGCGGAGATGAGGTAGAAAGGGTGTCTATCAAAGGACAGTGTTTAGTCCTTGATTCTGTTTGCTGGCTTCATTCCTGCCCTTGCGACATTGATTCCCTCCTATAACTCTATATGCATGGAATAAACTCTGTCCTTTTTTGCTGTTGAGCCCCTTGATTCCTGTTATTTCCAACCAAACATTTTCACTCAACCTGGTCCCTCTGACATGGAATTAAGAGTTCCCTGTGTATACGAAGACATAAGTAAAGCCCGTGCCTAAATTATTGAAATGGTTGGTGGGTCTAAGACCTTTTGAAACACATGAAAAAAATCTTACATTGGTGAGCCTTTGGGTAAGGAAGCTTTGTTGAGTAGACTTCAATAAAGGAGCTATTTTTTGCAAGAATTTGGTAAATATCCTTGCCCAACATAACTTTATTTTCAATTAATCAAAAGCCTTAGGAAACGCTGAATTTAAAAGAATAAAAATTAAGATTTTTATTACGTTTTAAGAGTTCCACTGCTTAGTGTATTATATATAAAAACAAACTGGGCCTCTCCTAGGATACCTCTTATCAGCTTGTGTTCAAACAGGTCATACAAAGTAGCGCTGTTAGTACATACTCATATAGCCTAGAAAATAAACTAGACAGAACTTGGAAAAGAACCACCTGACTATTCTGATGAGGTAGGAGAATCTTAGAGATCTCCTAGATCACCATACAAAAATGTAGATGATATTATCTTCTGCCATAATTTTTTTTTAGCATCCAATGACAGTTATTGAACATCTAACATGGGCAGGCATCATGTTACTTTGTTTATTGCTATATCCTCTTCACTTAGCATAATCTTGGATGTAAAAGGCACACGGTAAAAATTTTAAGTGAGCAAATTAATATTAAAGGATGAATAAGAATCAATCCATGCTATCTGGTAAGTAGGAAATAATCTGTCAGATGACACAATGACTAAATGATCATTTAAAAACAACTCTCTTTTGTATACATTATATGAAGAATTTCATTGAATTGATAAAAGAGATATATCATAATATGTAAATGGACAGAAAATATAAATAGGTCACAGAAGGAAAAATAATTTTATTAATAAAACTAATAAAAATGTTGATCACCAGTAATGATCTAAGAAAAACAAGTTGAAAAATTATTTTGCCTAGCAATTAAAATTTTTTAATGTAGTGAAATATAGTTGGAAGAGGATATAGTAGAAAGTGTATACTCCTACAGTTCAATGGCAGAAAAAAATAATATATTTTTCATAGAAACTATCAATACTTATTTTCATGCAGTGATTAAAGTTCTGAGAAGTAATCCAAGGGTAGACACCAAAAGAAAGAAAAACATATAGATGAAAGTATTTATCATGACATGTTTTTTACATGCATTTAGGTGTTTAGAAAGGAAATGTTATTTATAATAATACAAAATCAAAATCAGCCAATGACAGGCGCATCATTAAGTAAATTATGGTACTTCACTCAATAGATAGTATGAAGATTTTTAAGAAGATAAATATGGAAAATATAGACAACATACTATTATAAAATATAACAACATTAATGGAAAAGAAGCTGAAAATAAAATCATTTTACACTATGACCACAGTCAAATAATAAATATATATCCATACACACAAGTCCTAGAAGTAAAATGAAAGAAGTTTGAGTAGTTGAAATGGTGCAAATGCTTTATATAGGATCTAGATGTAATTATAAGTTTACTTAGAATTATTAATATAATGTTTGAGTAATGAAAATAAAAATAAAATCAACCCCTTTTTCTGAATAAAAAAGTGAACTTTAGGAAAAAAGAACATGGGGAGTTTGGTCAACAACTTTCTTAAGCACCAAAACAATTCTGATATTTTCCACAATATATAAAATTGAAAATTCTTTGTGTAGCAATAGAAATTGAAATTATCTTTTGTAACAAAGTGAAGGGTTAACAGATAGATGAGAGTATGATATTTAAACAAAGGATTTCATTAAGTACTTCATTTTTAAAGTTATTTTATTGATTATGCTATTACAGTTGTCCCTATTTTTTGTCCTTTGCTCCCCCTCCACCCAGGACCCCCACTCCCTCAGGCAATCTGCACACCATTGTTCATATCCATTGGTCATGCATATAGGTTCTTTGGCTACTCCATTTCCTATATTGTACTTTATATCCCCATGACTATTGTGTAACTACATATTTGTACTTCTTAATCCCCTCACTTCTTCACCCATTCCTCCATACCCTCTTCCATCTGGCAACCACCAAAACATTCTCCGTATCCATAATTGTCTCTGCTCTTCTTGTTTGCATAGTTTGTTTTTTAGATTCAATTGTTGATAGATATGTATTTATTGCCATTTTATTGTTCATTATTTTGATTTTTTTTTTTAATTTCTTTTTTAGAGAGGGGAAAGGAGAGAGAAAGAGAGGGAGAGAAACATCAATGTGTGATTGCCTCTCACATGCCCCCTACTGTGTGGTTCCCAGTCACATGTGCCCTGACTGGGAATTGAATCAGAGACCCTTTGGTTCGCAGGCATTCAATCCACTGAGACATACCAGCCAGGGCTGATTTTCTTTTTCTTAAATAAGTCCCTTTAACATTTCATATAATAATGGTTTGGTGATGAGGAGCTCCTTTAGATTTTTCTTGTCTGGGAAGCTCTTTATCTGTCCTTCGATTCTAAATGATAACTTTGCTGGGTAGAGCAATTTGGCCATAGGTTCCTGCTTTTCATGACTGAATATTTCTTGCCAATCCCTTCTAGCCTGCAAAGTTTCTTTTGAGAAATCAGCTGATAGTCTTATGGGAACTCCCCTGTAGGTAACTAACTTCCCTTTTCTTGCTGCTTTTAAGATTTTCTCTTTATTTATAATCTTTGGCTTTTTAATTATGATGTGCCTCCCTGTGGGCCTCTTCGCATCCATCATAATTGGGACTTTCTGTGCTTCCTGGACTCACATGTCTATTTACTTCACCAAGTTAGGGAAGTTTTCTTTCATTATTTTTTCAAATAGATTTCCAATTTCTTGCTCTTTCTTTTTTTCTGGCACCCCTATGAGGCAAATGTTGGACCTTTTAAAGTGGTCTCAGAGGCTGTTTATACAATCCTCATTCTTCTGGATACTTTTTTTCCTTATTGTTCTCCATGGTTGTTTTTTGCTTCCTTATGTTCCAAATCACTGATTTGATTCTTGGCTTCATCCACTCTACTGTTTCCCTGTAAATTGTTCTTTATTTCAATTAATGAATCCTTCATTTCTGACTGCATATTTTTTTATGCTGTTAAGGTCCTCACAAAGTTCCTTGAGCATCCTTATAAACAGTGTTTTGAACTCTGCATAGATTGTTTATCTCCATTTCGTTTAGCTGTTTTTCTGGAGTTTCGATATGTTCTTTGTGAGGCATAAGCCAAAACAGCCATTCATATGGAAAAGTCTCTGTTAACAGCTTGGGTGGGCCTATAAGTTGGGCAGGATGGAGTCTCCGGGGATCTCCAGGGTGAGGCAAACAGTGTTATCCAGGTTGATGGAGTCTCAAATATGGCACCAGCCTGCTGGCTCTGTGGCTCTGTGGCTCAGTGGGGAGAGGATTCAGAAGAGGACATTGCCTCTGCCCACCTTTCTGTCTAGGAGAAAGCTGCCCCCAGCTCTCACCTTGATGCCAGGCACTTTAGTCCTCCCCGTATGCTGCTGGTGCCTTTCAAATTGCTACCCCAGTGCTGGAGAGCAGAGGGAATGAGTCTGAGTAAGTCTGTGTGTGGGTTCCTTAAAAGGAACTGCTTGGTACCCCAGAAGTTTCTTCCACTGACTCAATCCCTGCTGATTTTTGCAGACAGAAGTTGTGAGGACTTATCTTCCTGGCACTGAACCCTGGGCTTGGGGGCCTGGTGTGGGGCAGGGACTCCTTGTCCCTGACATAGCCCTCCTGAATTTTCATTCACCACACCTTGACGTGGGACCAGCCCATTGCACATCTCCACCCTCCAACCAGTCTGGATGGATGTGGTTTCTTTAATTCTGTAGTTGTCAGACTTCCATTCAACTCAATTTTTGACCGTTTTGGGTGATGGTTGTTCTATATTTCAGCTGCAATTTTGATGTGGTTGTGCAAGGAGATGGGTCATGTTTACCTCTGCCACCATCTTGACCAGAAGTCATCATTAAGTACTTCTTGATGAAAATGAGATAATAAATAGGCAATCCATTTATTTTTAATGTGTACTTTAATAAGTATAGAGTACATAAATAATTAGGTAAGCTTGTGGAGCTGATCAAGATACATAAATTATGAGATATGTGTCCATCTAAATTTCCTATGTAGTTTTCTTTTTTGTTTACAGAGTATTTATTAAAGTTCTTTAATATACAATTTCTCACTTGTCATTTTGGAAGTCCTTTATTGTAAAGACTATTCTTTTGTTTGATAACAAACAGAAGCCAGTGTCAGTGATTATCCTGGGCTTCCACATTGGATAAATTCAATTTCTTCTTGAGACATAGGCTTCTTTCTATATTTCGAAGGTAGTGTTTTTATTATTTGTGCAGTGCCTGGTGGGCCCTGATGCATCAGCCATTCTGGTGATTTACTTCCCTTAAAATGCTGTGAAATTGAAGAAGAGTGAGATGGTAGTCCTGCTGATCTTAAAACTTCTGGTACATTGGGTTTAGGATAATCTCTTCTGTTTGGGAAAGTTATTAATGGAGTATGTGGCTTGACTACCTGAATGACCATGCTAGAAGGCACCATCTTGCTGCCCATCATGAACTCCAAGAAGGCAATAGGCAATCTTTTCAAAATGACTTAGTCTGGCCCTGGCCTGTGTGGCTCAGTTCATCAAAGTGCTGTCCTGTAAACTGAAGGGTTGTGGGTTTGATCCTCAGTCAGGGCACATACCTAGGTTGTGGGTTTATAAGGGAGGCAACCAAACAATGTCTTCCTCCCTTTCTCTCTCTTCCTGTCTCTCTAAAAGCAATAAAAAAATGTCCTCTGGTGAGGATTAAAAATAAAAAAAAAGATTTAGTCTGAAACCTTTTAAAATTTCTCCTCCCATAAATGAGTAAATTCTAGGAAGACTATTTCAAAATGTGATAAAAATTCTGTTGCTTCAAAATGGACTGTCTACAACATTGAGCAAAGGCAGCCAAGCACAGATGGGTGCATGATTCTACTTACATAAAATCTTGAAGCTGGCAAATTTATGGTGTGTGTACTTTACCACCTGCAAATTATACCTCGATAATGAAGAAAAATGGTCTGTAATCAGATAAGATCATTTCACAGAAATGAAAATCAGATACAGACATGAAGAAGATTTCATTTTCCTTAAATTGCCTATTTGGAATGTAATGAAGCTTTTCTAAGTATTTTGAATAATCTGACCTTACCAAATTACCCTCAGTCAATGTGGGTGGTCATGAATGGAAGATGTTTATTTAATTAGTTATTATGGCTCACATTGGCCAGACTCAGTGTACATCTTTACAGCCATCGCTTCCACTCCTCTTCAAACAAGAGGTGGATTCTCTTTTCTAAAGAGTTATGTTATTTATTTATATGACAGACTCTTGAAGGAGTCTAATAAGACCATGTTAGTTGCACCCCAGAAATCCATGGCCAATACAGAGAGTGGGGGTGCACTGCATGCAGAGGGAACAATCATAAGATCCAGGCGGATCATACAGTGTATCCGACTGCAGAGTGGAACTTGACCCACTATTTCACATGTTCATATATTGGGTTACCATTCTTCCAAGATAAATTATTTTGGACGTTTTTACTTATGCATATTTAATACAAAAACTAAGACATTACTGATGCTGTAACATAGTGAGAGAATTTAATCACAGATCGGAAAGAGAGTGGACTAGGTAGTCATAGAAATCAGGAGTCACATTCCAGCTCTTTCCACTTTCTAAATATGTGACTGTGGAATAAGGATCTAGTTTTTCTAAACTCCAGTTTCTTCACCTGTGAAATGAGGTTTATAATACACTGTTATCTTAAGGATAGTAGAAAATATAGAGATGAGTGCCTGGAGCACTCAGCAAACAATGGTTGGTGGTGGTGATGGTTAAGTGTTAGCCACCCTCAGCACTTACGGCTGAATAGCTTTGTTCAAGTCCTATAGTTTTTTATTTATGAAAAAACCCCAAAACACCCACCTGTTAAGGAACAGCTTCTGAGGTTAAATTAATTTGCAAGCAGTCTATTTTTGTTTTTTCTTGACTTTCTATGTGGTCCTACTGAATTAAGTACTTTTAAATTACAGTTACTAGAAAATAAAAAAGGTCTATTCAATGGATACATATAACACACAAGGGTGAAAAAGCTAGAAATGGCCAATAGCACCAAGCACCCAATCCCAACCTCCATCTGAGTCCCAAGGCCGAAAATTCTCCTGGCCTGGTCAGTCATCCTGAGAGTAAATGAGGGTGGCAACCAACTTGAGGTTGCTGACCCCATTTGGGGCAGTGATTTCATTGCTCTAATTTTTAGACGTTCATCTTATTCTTGGGAAGTCAGGACAGGACAGATTTCAAACATTTAATCTAAACAAGCAAAACGTGGCCTCCCAGTGGCCTGGGACTACATTCTTCTAGTGCTCTGGCACCAGAGCATGGAAGGCTACTCGATCTCTCTCCCACAAGGGTTGTGGTGAAGCTAGGGTAGGGGCAGTTATCCTTTTTATATTTTATTGGCTCAAGATATCTTACTTAGGGAGAAGAAAATGGCAATACTGGAAATAAAAGTTGCCTGGCCAGGCTGGGCCAAGCTGTACAAAATGATTTGATTCACTGTATATTTTAAACTAAAACATTGTTGCTATCAGAACATAGAATAGTAGGGCCTGTATTTCTCTATTAAAAGGGGAAAAGAAAATCAAAACAACTCGGCATCAGAAAATTCTCAGCACAAGGCTGATCCCTGATTTTACCTCTTTTTCTCTGTACCAACCAAAATCTGATGATCTCAAATAGAACTTTACCCTGCTTCCCAGGACTGTTGTGAAAATTAAATAACAAAATTACTCTGTCAAGTGCAAAATGCCAAAAAAATATTAGTTCGGTTATTACATACAAGAAGGGAACTGGTATCACTCCAAGTTTGTGCTGGAGACAGCAACAATAAACTAAACAGACAGCTGACTAAATCTGCCAGACAGGAAGCAGTCTGACTCTTGAATACAGGCTGGATTCCCTTTCGCTGAGCTACACCTGCCAGACTGGAAGACCCTGGTGCTTTAGTCATGAATGAGCATGTCCTGTCCAGGGCCTTTGGCTCCACCCTGCAATGCTGGCCCAGGGCCGAGTCTGGGCTAACTTCCCCTCTAGCTTGCCTGGTACTGCCTTTCCGGTAACTCAGGACTTCAGCCAGAGTCTCAAGTTTTGCCTGACACAAGTGGCCTAATAATGAGAACACCCCTCCTCCATGTTAGAGAATTTCTGTTCCCTCCTCTTTCTTAGAAGTCACTCCTATTTCCACTCCTCTGTTTCTCATCTGCCCAAGGTCTCCAGAATGAGGTGTGCGAGATCAAGAAGCTGAGAAAAGGGCAGAGGAATATATTTGTCCTGTTGACTATTTCTCTCAATTGCGTCTCACCTGCTCCCCACTAGTACTAATTCTTTGCTAACTCCTTATTTCCAGTAGCTGGAACATAATAGACTCTTAATAACTACTTACTGAATGAAAGCAAACATCAAATAATGAATCAGCAAACACATGTTAAATGAAGCCTCAAGACTTTCCTGACCTCCCAACCCATCTCAAGCCTGCTCCTAAGGCCAAACACTAGGGCAGCCTAAGCTTGGTTTTCCAAATTGACTTTGATTTTAGTTCTTTATGCACAAAGGACCACTGTAAGTACATCTATTCTTTTGTTTTGTTTGAGTTTTGAGAGAAAAAAGAAACTGAAAAAGGGAAAAACCTCACTTCCCATCTGTTTCTCAGAAGGGATGGAATCAACGTGGCAATGTGTTTGTATGTGTGTGTGTGTTTCCCGGTGGCATGGAGAGATTGTAAGTTTGTGCTATTTTCTAGAGAATAGAAGAGATACCGTGTCTGGAAAGCACAGTTGCTGACAGTAGAGGCTGACTCACTCCTACCTAAGGTAGAAGGTAAATGGGGCACAGCTTTAAAATCCCACCACTCACTACCTTCAGAGGCCCTGAGGATCAGTGTTCAGTGTTCAGTGATGGAACACATACACTGATAGAGCACATTTAACATAAACCCAAGATGATATCAAGTAGACAAATATACATGTAAGCTGCTAGACATACGAAAGGATGTTCAACCTCACTACTCATCAGGGAAATGCAAATTAAAACCTTAATGCGATACCACCTCACACCTGTCAGAAAGGCTATCATCAATGAATCAACAAACAAAAGGAAACCCTCTTGCACTTAGTGGAATTATAAACTGATAAAGGTACTTGGGAAAACAGTATGGAGGTTCCTCAAATACAATTAAAACTAGAATTGATATGACCCATCAATTCCATTTCTGAGTATTTGTCTGAAGAAATCCAAAACACTAATTCAAAAAGATATATACACCTCTGTGTTCATTGCAGTATTATTTACAATAACAAGTATATGGAAGCATCCTATGTGTTCATCAATAGATGAATGGTAAAGAAATTGTGGTACATACAAAATATAAAAAGTCCAGTCATTGTTAATATAACAAGATAGTTTGCGTGACATTAATGTGACCTGGCAGCCAAGGAGAGTGGACTGGAATGCTCGTGCATGAACAATGATGATTTCACTGCACTAGACAGTTGGAGCGTTTGATGCCATTGAATGAGCATGTGTAGTGTGTGACAGTCACATTCAAAATGACTGAGTAGAGCAACGAATCTGCATCAAATTTTGCATTAAGCTTGAGCATTCCCCTGTGGAAACTATTCAGATGATTTAAAAGTCTGCAGCTGTGGGCAACTGGTGATTGGCAGCTTCATCACAACAACACGACTGCTCATGCATCACATCTTTTGCAGTTTTTTGGTGAAACATCAAATTGCTCAGGTGACTGAGCCCTGCTACAGACCAGATTTGGCTTTCTGTGACTTCTGGCTTTTCCTAAAACTAAAATCACCTTAGAAAGGGAAGAGATTTCAGACCATTGATGAGATTCAGGAAAATATGACAGGGCAGCTGATGGTGACTGGGAGAACTGTAGGAGGTCCCAAGGTGCCTACTTTGAAGAGGACTGAGGTGTCATTGTCCAATGTACAATGTATCTTGTATCTTGTATCTTCTTCAATAAATGTCTGTTTTTCATAATACATGGCTGGATACCTTCTGGACAGACCTTGTATATAATGGAATATTACCGGGGCATAAAAAAGAATGAAATCTTACCATTTGTGACAGCATGGATAGACATAGAGGGTATTATTCTTAGTGAAAGAAGCCAGACAGAGAATGATAAATACCATGTGATTTAACTTATATGTGGAATCTAAAAACCAAAGTAAGCAAACAAACTCATTGTTACAGAGAACAAAGTAATGGTTGCAGGTGGGACAGTAATTGGAGGAATGGGTGAAAAAAGTGAAAGGGATTAAGAAGTACAAATTGCCAGTTATAAAAAGAGTCATTTGGATGTAAAGTACGCAAAGGGAATATAGTCAATAGTCTTGTAATAACTATGCATGGTTTCAGGTGGGTACAAGTCTTACCAGACTGATCACTTTGTAAAATGTATAAATGTCTAATCACTATGCATCTGACACCAACATAGTATTGTATGTC